GCCCAATTTGGTCTGGGCCCGAGGTGGGCTTAATAGCCGGCGACCACTGTACACAGAAAATGTGATGCTAATGTGTGTATCTACTAAGTGCAGGCAGTGGCCGACCTCGTTAAGTATAACCTGAAATGCTGGAATGCGTTTTAGATTAAAGGGAAGCGCTTGCGTGGAACTTCAAGATTTATTATCCCCCGGAACGTCTTTTCGGTTGCCTGCAAAAACCCGGACCTGCTAAAAGCGACTACTTAAGTAGCATGCTGTTGGAAAGGGTAAACAAAATGTTTGTACTCGTTTGATAGAAGATCAGGTCGTCTTCAACTTTCTACCCCAAAAAGGTAAGTTAGCATTTTAAAGAGAGTTTACCACTTCCAAAATAATTTTGAATCCCATCTACCGTTGCTTTTGCGTTTACCGTTCTCATATTACAAGCTGGATACCTTCCAATATGCCACTACAACTTTTCGTGATTGAAAACTTTTTAAAAAACTATAAAACAGCCTTTTCTGGCGTATAAGCACTTGGGTAAGTCACTGGCTATCAAATGACTGCAAGAAAGAATTGTCTTGCCAGCGTTGTCTGTAGAATACATTCGAATTTATAAGGGCATCGAAAATCAGTACAAAATTACGTACTACTTAACTAGTAGTTTTATATCGTGCAGACGGCAAAAAAGAAATGCATTCAGAAACCGGCATCATGGTATTTCCAAAATAACGTGGAATTATGTTGCACAATAATAAATATTACAAACACATGTAAGTAATCCTTCTGGATGAAAAACACGTTTACGAATTTTGGTTAACATTTCATGGAATTAGCCACTGAATACATTTTACATTTTCTCGGCCAGCGACCAGCCTCTTGACATGCGACAGTGTGAAAAATTAAAAGGGTGAGGGGGAGGGTTGGCAGATTTGAATAAGGCATTTGACCCAATTGTAAAAAAAACTTGGCAGCCTCGGTGGGATTCGAATCCACACCAGCGAGGGGAAACCTTCAGTACAGTCAGCTGAGGCCCCACCGGGAGCAGTGAGTTTAGTTAATCACAATTGGGTCGATTTATCCACCCAGCCTACTGCAACATATGTAATCCATCAGTTCTGATACAGTAAGCTGACTGCCCAAGCAGGATATCCCAAGTAATCAATATAGAATCCACTAGATGACTACCAGTCATTTAATTAGCGGGGGGCAGATTTGGATAATTCATCTGACCAAATTGTGAAAACTCGGCGGCCTTGGTGCGGTGCGAACCCGAGTTAGCAACGTCTAATTATTATAATATTAGTAGTTAATTATACACCGATCTGGTTTTCAGGACGTACGCATCCTGATTGACAGCGAACTCGTGGCTCAATGGTTAGGACGTTTGCCTCTGACCGGAGAGACGCAAGTTCGAAACTCGACAGTGGCAGCAATTTCAGCTGCAACACTGGAATTGGGTATCTCTAGCTGACGACGGCTAATGAGCCAGAAATGGCCATTCTAGAGTCCCATGTCTTGTCGGAATACTACTACATTATAATAGGTCAAGTTAGGTCGTATTTCGGTTGCTCATCTGGCCTAACATGCAGAAGAAGTTCGTTTAACATACCGCATATTACAGACAATTCTGACAGTTAATTTAAGGACAGTTTAAAAGATCATTTGAATGTTTTTGTGCCCGTTTTGTCTTATTTATTCAGCTGTCTGCATGTGTAGAAAAATTAATGTACACCAGCGCAAGTTCCCGATTTTCTAAAAAATCACTAGCTCTGACCAATGTAAAGTAATCTGCAATACGGTTTTATGCTTTCATTTAACCGAAGGTCATCAGGATCGGTTTGATTGACTTATTAAGGACATGACGCGAATTTAGGGAAAAGACAGAGAAAGAGAGCGAAGGTGAAGATGAAAAAACCAAGCAGACAGACCATTCTTCCGCGTTGACCGCGTCATTGAAGCCGGGTGTATCAACAATCGTGAGACGCAATTTCACTCCACGTTCATCCAATTCGATTTGACGCTTCTCGATCTTTGTCACCTTATGGATGCGCTCATTGGCGTCCACCTCCTCGCGATCCTTGTACAAATCCTGCATGAAAAGGCTGTTCACCAGGGTCGCCTTGCCAAGACCGCTTTCCCCTGCAACAGGATAGAGAGGTGGAACGAGAGGCGTAAAAAAATGCGATCAGTGATAGGGCTGACCATCGATTTGGATTATGTCCGCTGTATGCCCCAAAAAGGTTGACGCAGGGGCAGTGACTTGCGCGGCATCTACCGCACTCTCTCTTCCTTCACCTACCGTTGCACAATGCCATGACCAAGTCAAGAAGACCGAGGCGGGAGCGGACGCAGATCGCTGAAGTGGCCGAAGCGGCCTCTATGCGTGCCACCACGCCCCCATGTTCGGCATTTGTTTCCGGAGCGAAACCCCGGACAACGCCTGCAGTACCCTTATCTGGACCCCGTGTTGGTCCAGCGCACCTATCACGAGGCCCGTTTAAGGGGCACAAATGCGTGCAGTGGGTGAACTAACTAGTGCAAAGCCATGATCAGAATTGGAGTTGGTATTTTATTCTTGTTATTTTGATCTGATAAATGAATTTGATTCAGAAAAAGTAAGAAAACCGCCTGTTAAATTCAGTTTACGTAAAGGAGACAG